ATTTCATGCACATTCAGGATTAAAAATGTAATATTCATTCGATTGATTGATTGATTGTTGGTTGCTTAACGTCCAGTGGCAAATATTTCATGCATATTCAGGACGAGAACAAGTTCACAATAAATACAATAGGTAGGTTCTGTAATAAATTTAGGGATTAAGGTCGGAGAAATTTAGACTGCCACGGGAAATGAGGGTATATTGGATAGGGACAGAAATTTAGCCTTGCAACAGGTCACCTACGGACCCCTCAAAGAGTTGTTGCAAGGGTTCTTAACGTGCAAAGAGCGTGGCACTCTCTTTACACGAGGCATCAGATTTAACGTCCCCCTTCTGACCGGACGTGGCTGCAAATTTGTACATCCCGCACAGCCAAACGGACGCCCCACTTTAGCACGGGTTTTACTGCCGGTCGGAGGAAGACCAATGGTGACCCTTGGGGACTGTCACTTTAGAAGATAAAAATTTAGTTTGTTCAAAAACAATTTTAGGAATTGAACAATCAATTGCATTTTAGGAATTGAACAATCAATTGCAAGTAATGTAATTGCAAGACGAGTACTCCGAAGTGATGGAGTTTATGTTGAAGGACATATCCAAGGGTCTGAGGTTAATTTTACTGTAGATACAGGGGCAGTCCGGACAGTGTTATCCGTACATGCCTTTAATAAAATTCCTCATGTTAATAGACCAAACTTAGAAAAGTCTAATACTTTAGCTTGTGCTGATGGCAAACCCTTAAAGGAGCTAGGGAAAGCTATTTTTGAAATTAAATTAGGAAATTTATGTTTTAGTACAGAAATGATAGTAGCAAATATAGAAGATGAAGCTGAGTTGGGACTAGATGTTTTAATGAAGTCTCAGTGGGGTCCTGCTGATATGAAGCTAACGGATGGAATTATACTGCTTGGTGGTCATGTTATCCATTGTACCCAAATTGGCCAAACAAATAAACTTATTCGAAAAATGTATGTGGCTGACAAATATGAAATTCCCCCAAGATCTGAAATTTTGATTGATGTTTTTGTTAACCGATTTCAAAATGATTCTCCTGAAACAGTCCAAGATTGTATTTTAGAACCCTCTGAGAATTTTTCAGAGATTTTCATTAGTAACGGCACCATGTTTAGTAAAGATAAGCCAAAATGTTACGTGTAAAACTCGTATAATGAACCCATATGATTACAAAAACACTTTGTATCAAGATACAGTAATTGGTTCAGCAGATGTTGTTGAACATGAACCAAAGATATTATTAGAATGTGAGGACACACTTGAAGTAAATAACCAAAATGCAATGAGAAGACTGAAATTTCATGACTCAAATTTAGTGTCTGGGAAGGGGGTATCCAAAGAAGAAATAATTAGACATTTGACTAACAAAGAAAAAGAAAAAGCTGAATCAGTACATTTAAAAGACATGTTCCAAAGTATTACATCTGGACATTCAGAGACAGAGAAGGATGCCATAGCTGACATTTTGAATAAATACTCTGATACCTTCTCCAAAATGAAACCGACCTAGGAAGAACCAGTCTTCTTGAGTTTTGTATTGAGACTGGAGATGCAAAACCAATTAAACAACCCCCTAGACGAGTTCCAATGGCTTATGCAGGTGAAGAAAAGAAGTTGATTGACCAAATGAGGAATCGAGGAATAATTCAGAATTCAGCATCTCCTGGGTCGAGCCCCCTTGTACTAGTATTAAAGAAAAACGGGAAAGTTAGAGCTTGCTGTGATTACAGAATTTTAAATTGGGCTACAAAACCCGAAGTATAACCTCTTCCACGCATTCAGGATTGCTTGGATACTGTTGCTGGTGGCGTTGTTTAGTTCTTTTGATTTGACCAGTGGTTTTAATCAGATTCCCGTCAGAAACCAAGATATTCTTAAAACTGCATTTGTAACTAAATACGGGTTATATGAATACAAAACCTTACCATTTGGACTCACAAATGGACTAGCTTGTTGCCAAAGACTGATGGAGGTGGTCTTCAGTGGACGATATATTTAGACGATATCATTTTATTTTCATTTAATTTCTCCCAACATTTAGAAAGATTAGATATTGTCCTTAAAAGACATTATTATTATCTTCGGGACAGTCTTGTAGTTCAAGATGGACTCCTGTTTAGAAAATTTGAAAAACAAAATAGCACTGCACAGTATTTGCAATTTTTACTCCAGAAAAATTAAAATCTGAAGTTTTACATTGCATGCATAATGCAATTATATCTGGTCATTTAAGCAAGAGAAAAGCCACAGCAAAATTGCTCCAAAGATTTTATTGGTTCGAATTAAGGGAAGATGTCAGAATTTGGATTGCAAAATGTGAGGTTTGCGGGGCAAATACCCCCCCCCCCCCCCCCCCCATCAAAAACTCATCAAAAACTGCAAGGGCTCTCCTTTAGGTAGTATGCCTACTGGTGCACCTTGGGATAGACTTGCCACAGATATAATGGGCCCATTCCCTGTTACCCCAAGAGGCAACAAATACATACTTACAATAACTTGTCATTTTACCAAGTGTGTTGAAATATTTGCTATACAGGACAAGACTGCTGCAATTTGTGAAAACCATATTTTAAACGACGTTATATGTCGATATGGATGTCCTTTGTCCCTTCATTTCGATCAGGGTCGAAATTTTGAAAGCGACATATCCAAAGAGCTCTGTGAGCTTCTAGAAATTTGTAAAACTAGAACCAGTCCCCGAAATCCAAAGGGAAACGGACAATGTGAACGGTTTAATCGTACTGTTCTGGGAATGATTAAATGATATATAAAAGGGAAACAAACTAAATGGGATCAAAATTTGGGATGTTTGGCTGGGGCATACAGAGCCACACCCAATGAATCCACTACCTTAACCCCTAATCTTATGCTTTTGGGTCGAGAGATAAGATTGCCACATGAAATATTAAAAGGGGGTAATCCCTTAACCCTTATAAAAGAAAATAGTAGCAACTATGGAGAACATGTACAATATCTTATTAATAGTCTTTAAAAAGCTCATAAAGTAGCTAGAGCCCATTTGCAGGTAAATGCAAAAAGAAGAAAAGATTATTATGACAAAAAGTCAAATCTAACCATTTTTAAATCTAACAATTTTTGAAGTAAATGACAAAGTATGGTGCATGTTATGAATAAAAAATGGAATAAGTCCCAAGTTACAGACATTGTACACCGGTCCATGTCTGATAACAAGAAAATTTAATGATATAAATTATGAAATTCAAGTAGACAAAAGTGATCTAGGAAAAGTCGTTAATCATGACAAGTTGAAACAATATAATGGAGAAAATATACCAAAGTGGATCAAAACTTTAGTCAAGAAAAAATGATTTCTTGTTATATATAACACTTACTGGGGATTAAGACTAAAATTTCATTTAGTCTTTTACTATAAGTGTGTCATATGAATATTATTTTTAAGTTGAAATAAAATTTTAAATGTTTGCAAATATGTAAACATGGACCAATATAAAATATATATATTTATAAATCTGAAATTTATGTTTGGATTAAAGTCTGATGTTAATATTTATGAATAAAATTAACATTGTCATAAGGTTTGACAATGTATAATTATACTTATACTAAGAGAATAGGGCTTACTCCCAAAGCTAAATCCTGCCTTGTAAAGTTAAGGAATAAAGTAACATGAACTGAAATCAAAGGTCAAGTGTACTTTTAGTGTGAAATATATTGTTGAGTTTATAATACATGTAATAAATAAGTAGTCAAAGTTTAATGATGTTGACAAAGAATATATCAGGGAAAGGAATAAAAAAAATGTATATATGAAAATATATATATTTATATTTTTTGCGTCATAAATTTCAAAATAAGAATTTTTTTAGTTCGTTGGTGTGTACAAGAAGGCAGCATAGGAGAGTCCTTGTAAAATTTTTGTACAAGTGACTCAAAACCTGCCTGTTTTTGTACTTTCAGATGGCTAACCAATTAAAGTGTAAACGGGGACTGGCCTATTAATGTATGTACTGCATTTACCCAGAATCTTTTTTGGCCGAGAAGAATAGGGTAGAGGCCCATATTTTGAAAAGACACCTGGCATTGGATAAAGCAAGATTCTATTGTACTTTGTGTATGTTCAGATGTGACGACAGAAAAAAAAATTGGACAGGCACCTAATCTCATTTGTGCCTCACCTCCACCAGAAGGAAACGCAAATAGTATGTAATATCTTAGGGACCTAGCATATTTAAAAAAGAGTCCTGCCCCCCACCTATTCAACATAACAGTAAGGGACTATGTGCCATTGACACATAGTGAGAGTGCCGGATTTTGGGCAACCAAGTCCCGTGGCCAGCCAGTGTCACCCTTAGTCTCTTTGCCATTGCCTCAGGCCTCTACTCTTGCCAGAATACCGCCTTCTTACCATCATCTGCCTACCATGTCAACTTCCACACCTGCAAGCCTACCAGCATCTGCCTATCATGTCATCTACCATACCTGCCAGTCATCTTTCACCACAAACCATGTCTTATTTTCCAACTGCTACAGCTCATTCTCATTTGCCAGAACCATCATTATATCCAACAACTACAGCAACCGGTCAACCACAACAATCTACCATACCATCAGCTCCAACTTTACGGATGTCAACAATGCCTTCAACAACTCATTTCTAAACGGCCGAACCTCTGAATCAATCTTTTACATACCATCTCCAACTATAAACAAGAGTGCACACGCTGAAATGTCTCGCCTTCTTTACTAATCATTGATATTATGTTGATAGTCCTAAATATAAAGCTTTATTACAACTGTCACATAAACTTAACATTAACCAAGTAAACTAAACATTGACCACTGAACCATGAAAATGAGGTCAAGGTCAGATGAACCATGCTAGGCAGGCTTGTACAGCTAACAATTCTTCCATACAACAAATATAGTTGACCTATTGCTTATAGTTTAAGAAAAACAGACCAAAACACAAAAACTTAACACTGAGCAATGAACCTTGAAAATGAGGTCAAGGTCGAATAAAACCTGCTTGACTGCCAAATAGATCATAAAATATTTCCATACACCAAATATAGTTGAATTATTGCATATAGTATTAGAAAAAAAGACCAAAACTCAAAAAACTTAACTTTGACCACTGAACCATGAAAATGAGGTCAAGGTCAGATGACACCTGCCCGCTAGACATGTATACCTTACAATCATTCCATACACCAAATATAGTAGACCTATGGCATACAGTATAAAAAAAACAGACCAAAACACAAAAACTTAACTATAACCACTGAACCATGAAAATGAGGTCAAGGTCAGATGACACCTGCCAGTTGGACATGTACACCTTACAGTCCTTCCATACACCGAATATACTAGACCTATTGCTTATAGTATCTGAGATATGGACTTGACCACCAAAACTTAACCTTGTTCATTGATCCATGAAATGAGGTCGAGGTCAAGTGAAAACTGTCTGACGGGCATGAGGAGCTTGCAAGGTACGCACATACCAAATATAGTTGAACTATTACATATAGTATTAGAAAAAAAGACCAAAACTCCAAATCTTAACTTTGACCACTGAACCATGAAAATGAGGTCAAGGTCAGATGACACCTGCCCGCTAGACATGTACACCTTACAATCATTCCGTACACCAAATATAGTAGACCTATGGCATACAGTATAAGAAAAACAGACCAAAACACAAAAACTTAACTATAACCACTGAACCATGAAAATGAGGTCAAGGTCAGATGACACCTGCCAGTTGGACATGTACACCTTACAGTCCTTCCATACACCGAATATACTAGACCTATTGCTTATAGTATCTGAGATATGGACTTGACCACCAAAACTTAACCTTGTCCACTGATCTATGAAATGAGGTCGAGGTCAAGTGAAAACTGTCTGACGGGCATGAGGACCTTGCAAGGTACGCACATACCAAATAGTTATCCTATTACTTATAATAAGAGAGAATCTAACATTACAAAAAATCTTTACTTTTTTTTCAAGTAGTCACTGAACCATGAAAATGAGGTCAAGGACATTGGACATGTGACTGACGGAAACTTCGTAACATGAGGCATCCATATACAAAGTATGAAGCATCCAGACCTTCCACCTTCTAAAATATAAAGCTTTTAAGAAGTTAGCTAACGCCGCCGTAGCCGCCGCCGCCGCCGGATCACTATCCCTATGTCGAGCTTTCTGCGACAAAAGTCGAAGGCTCGACAAAAACTTAACACTGAGCAATGAACCTTGAAAATGAGGTCAAGGTCAAATAAAACCTGCGTGACTGCCAAATAGATCATAAAATATTTCCATACACCAAATATAGTTGAACTATTGCATAAAGTATGAGAAAAACAGACCAAAACACAAAAACTTAACTATAACCACTGAACCATGAAAATGAGGTCAAGGTCAGATGACACCTGCCAGTTGGACATGTACACCTTACAGTCCTTCCATACACCGAATATACTAGACCTATTGCTTATAGTATCTGAGATATGGTCTTGACCACCAAAACTTAACCTTGTTCATTGATCCATGAAATGAGGTCGAGGTCAAGTGAAAACTGTCTGACGGGCATGAGGAGCTTGCAAGGTACGCACATACCAAATATAGTTGAACTATTACATATAGTATTAGAAAAAAAGACCAAAACTCAAAATCTTAACTTTGACCACTGAACCATGAAAATGAGGTCAAGGTCAGATGACACCTGCCCGCTAGACATGTACACCTTACAATCATTCCATACACCAAATATAGTAGACCTATGGCATACAGTATAAGAAAAATAGACCAAAACACAAAAACTTAACTATAACCACTGAACCATGAAAATGAGGTCAAGGTCAGATGACACCTGCCAGTTGGACATGTACACCTTACAGTCCTTCCATACACCGAATATACTAGACCTATTGCTTATAGCATCTGAGATATGGACTTGACCACCAAAACTTAACCTTGTCCACTGATCAATGAAATGAGGTCGAGGTCAAGTGAAAACTGTCTGACGGGCATGAGGACCTTGCAAGGTACGCACATACCAAATATAGTTATCCTATTAGTTATAATAAGAGAGAATCTAACATTACAAAAAATCTTAACTTTTTTTTCAAGTAATCACTGAACCATGAAAATGAGGTCAAGGACATTAGACATGTGACTGACGGAAACTTCGTAACATGAGGCATCCATATACAAAGTATGAAGCATCCAGACCTTCCACCTTCTAAAATATAAAGCTTTTAAGAAGTTAGCTAACGCCGCCGTAGCCGCCGCCGCCGGATCACTATCCCTATGTCGAGCTTTCTGCGACAAAAGTCGAAGGCTCGAAAAAAACTTAACACTGAGCAATGAACCTTGAAAATGAGGTCAAGGTCAAATAAAACCTGCGTGACTGCCAAATAGATCATAAAATATTTCCATACACCAAATATAGTTGAACTATTGCATATAGTATTAGAAAAAAAGACCAAAACTCAAAAACTTAACTTTGACCACTGAACCATGAAAATGAGGTCAAGGTCAGATGACACCTGCCTGCTAGACATGTACACCTTACAATCATTCCATACACCAAATATAGTAGATCTATGGCATACAGTATAAGAAAAACAGACCAAAACACAAAAACTTAACTATAACCACTGAACAATGAAAATGAGGTCAAGGTCAGATGACACCTGCCAGTTGGACATGTACACCTTACAGTCCTTCCATACACCGAATATACTAGACCTATTGCTTATAGTATCTGAGATATGGACTTGACCACCAGAACTTAACCTTGTTCACTGATCCATGAAATGAGGTCGAGGTCAAGTGAAAACTGTCTAACGGGCATGAGGACCTTGCAAGGTACGCACATACCAAATATAGTTATCCTATTACTTATAATAAGAGAGAATCTAACATTACAAAAAATCTTAACTTTTTTTTCAAGTAGTCACTGAACCATGAAAATGAGGTCAAGGACATTGGACATGTGACTGACGGAAACTTCGTAACATGAGGCATCCATATACAAAGTATGAAGCATCCAGACCTTCCACCTTCTAAAATATAAAGCTTTTAAGAAGTTAGCTAACGCCGCCGTAGCCGCCGCCGCCGCCGGATCACTATCCCTATGTCGAGCTTTCTGCGACAAAAGTCGAAGGCTCGACAAAAACTTAACACTGAGCAATGAACCTTGAAAATGAGGTCAAGGTCAAATAAAACCTGCGTGACTGCCAAATAGATCATAAAATATTTCCATACACCAAATATAGTTGAACTATTGCATAAAGTATGAGAAAAACAGACCAAAACACAAAAACTTAACTATAACCACTGAACCATGAAAATGAGGTCAAGGTCAGATGACACCTGCCAGTTGGACATGTACACCTTACAGTCCTTCCATACACCGAATATACTAGACCTATTGCTTATAGTATCTGAGATATGGTCTTGACCACCAAAACTTAACCTTGTTCATTGATCCATGAAATGAGGTCGAGGTCAAGTGAAAACTGTCTGACGGGCATGAGGAGCTTGCAAGGTACGCACATACCAAATATAGTTGAACTATTACATATAGTATTAGAAAAAAAGACCAAAACTCAAAATCTTAACTTTGACCACTGAACCATGAAAATGAGGTCAAGGTCAGATGACACCTGCCCGCTAGACATGTACACCTTACAATCATTCCATACACCAAATATAGTAGACCTATGGCATACAGTATAAGAAAAATAGACCAAAACACAAAAACTTAACTATAACCACTGAACCATGAAAATGAGGTCAAGGTCAGATGACACCTGCCAGTTGGACATGTACACCTTACAGTCCTTCCATACACCGAATATACTAGACCTATTGCTTATAGCATCTGAGATATGGACTTGACCACCAAAACTTAACCTTGTCCACTGATCAATGAAATGAGGTCGAGGTCAAGTGAAAACTGTCTGACGGGCATGAGGACCTTGCAAGGTACGCACATACCAAATATAGTTATCCTATTAGTTATAATAAGAGAGAATCTAACATTACAAAAAATCTTAACTTTTTTTTCAAGTAATCACTGAACCATGAAAATGAGGTCAAGGACATTAGACATGTGACTGACGGAAACTTCGTAACATGAGGCATCCATATACAAAGTATGAAGCATCCAGACCTTCCACCTTCTAAAATATAAAGCTTTTAAGAAGTTAGCTAACGCCGCCGTAGCCGCCGCCGCCGGATCACTATCCCTATGTCGAGCTTTCTGCGACAAAAGTCGAAGGCTCGAAAAAAACTTAACACTGAGCAATGAACCTTGAAAATGAGGTCAAGGTCAAATAAAACCTGCGTGACTGCCAAATAGATCATAAAATATTTCCATACACCAAATATAGTTGAACTATTGCATATAGTATTAGAAAAAAAGACCAAAACTCAAAAACTTAACTTTGACCACTGAACCATGAAAATGAGGTCAAGGTCAGATGACACCTGCCTGCTAGACATGTACACCTTACAATCATTCCATACACCAAATATAGTAGATCTATGGCATACAGTATAAGAAAAACAGACCAAAACACAAAAACTTAACTATAACCACTGAACAATGAAAATGAGGTCAAGGTCAGATGACACCTGCCAGTTGGACATGTACACCTTACAGTCCTTCCATACACCGAATATACTAGACCTATTGCTTATAGTATCTGAGATATGGACTTGACCACCAGAACTTAACCTTGTTCACTGATCCATGAAATGAGGTCGAGGTCAAGTGAAAACTGTCTAACGGGCATGAGGACCTTGCAAGGTACGCACATACCAAATATAGTTATCCTATTACTTATAATAAGAGAGAATCTAACATTACAAAAAATCTTAACTTTTTTTTCAAGTAGTCACTGAACCATGAAAATGAGGTCAAGGACATTGGACATGTGACTGACGGAAACTTCGTAACATGAGGCATCCATATACAAAGTATGAAGCATCCAGACCTTCCACCTTCTAAAATATAAAGCTTTTAAGAAGTTAGCTAACGCCGCCGTAGCCGCCGCCGCCGCCGGATCACTATCCCTATTTCGAGCTTTCTGCGACAAAAGTCGCAGGCTCGACAATACAACCATTACCACCACAGCTGATCTTTCATCTTATTTACCAATTGATGTGAATGACTGTCGTGATTATGAAGCATTTTCACCTGAGACTGGCTCCCCTACAAGGAAGGTCCTTGAAAGGGAGGTGGTAGCCATCTCAAAAGATGAAGAGGAGATGGAATGCATCTTGCCACCGTTGCTGGGGCAGGATCCGCCAAGTACATGTAGCAACCTTGATGCAAGGAATGCCATACTAAATGACACAAAGAAACCAGATGAGGATTCAAATCACCAATAATTCAGGACCTGGCAAATTTTACAAAGAGTCAACAAATAATCTTACAAGAGTTGGGGCACCAAACAGATCAGTCACAACCTTGTCTTCGGACATCTCGTTTCTGAGAGGCCAGTTTATGCAACAAGAACGCATTATAAATAGACAGCAGAGAGTACTTGACCGCCTCAACACAGTGAACAACTTACAAAGCCGAATACCTAAAGCCAACGCCAGAACTACCCCATACAATAGAACCACAGCTGCAGGTACACAAAAGAAATCGAAATTAAAGTCCGTTGTAGTTAAAGATAATTAATTTTAAATTTAATAAAGATGTAATTTTATATTTTTAATGGAAATTTTAAGGTATTGTGTATTTGGGTTGTTAATATCAAAAGTAATTTAAGGTTAAGATTAAAAGTTATTAAAATTTATTAAGATTAAACATTTATCTTTGAAATTCATGGAAAGTTAAAAAGTTTAGAAGTTATTTATTTTAGATATAGTCAAAGCTTTCGAGTGTTAAAAAAAATTTAGGTGTATTTTTGAACTTATATTTATATATATATTAGTATATTTAAATATTTTAGTACTGTTTACATGGTATCTAAGTTTTCCTTCAGAAAACCTCTGGTTCTTAGCCATGTTCCACATTTGGTATACATATATGTCTGTCTGGTATCTAACGCTCTAATGCTGATGGTTATAATGATGAAACTCATGGTGTATCTGAAAAGTATTATAATACAAATATATTATGTATAATTTTTACATAGCTTAAAATATTATCATGCATTTGCGTTATAATCATAGATGGTATTAAGGAGAAAACTAATTTCACTTCGTTTTGAAATAATTTTTTTAAATATTTACTCTATTTTTCTTTTTAAGAAGTATATGCAGTTAAGGCTAAGAAAAAAAATCAAAACTTTAAATGGAAGCGTTTGCAAAATTTAAAAGTATTTGCGGGGACGCAAATTATAGTAACGGGGTAAAATGTAGAGTACAGAGCCCAGATACATGTTTTATACAGTGACAAGTGTGATATTAGACTAATCTTTGCATAGACATGGATAAGGTATATTTTTGTTGTATCCATGAAGCATATTTTTTTAATATTCTGTAATTTTTAATAAAGTCCTATTGTGTAGGAAATAGTAACTGTACGAAATAACTTGTACTATACTAGTCTGAAACATATTCATAATTGAGGCAAATAAGTTTTAATTAATATTTAATTAAATAAACATAGAACAATTACAATGATGTTATTTTTTTTAGAAATATTGTATTACTGTCATTGGAATATTTGATAACTAATCTGAAATTCATCTTTATAATTTACCAGTTCATAATAAAAATCCACTGAATAATCCACATCTAAATGTCGTCTGCAATTTAGGCCATGCGGTCATCACGCTTGGTTGAATCCAATATTCACTTTCAGATGATTATAAATCGATAACGATAACTTCTCTGTATTGTAAAGTTTATACGTTCCATTATTACATCTATCTGTCATTATATGTTGATTTTTGAAACGAAATGTCTTGTATTTTAGTGAAGAGACAACTTTAGCAACTGTAGTAACTTCACGCACCTTGCTTGAATTTTATGAATGAAAGGTACGGACATGCGCAGTAGAATCCTTGTGTCACTTAGGACGATTTTTCAATAAAAACACTATTTTTACGTTTTGGCAACTGTTTTCACATCATTATTGTAATTCCTTATAGTATTTGTGTTCAACGTCTTCAATATTTTGCAGATGTTAATGATCACTTTCCTTGATGTTTATCATTTTGCAATGTTGTTTACGTATTGGGACTTCCGCTGAAGTTGTATTGGTGTATTTTTAGTAACCATAGAAATTTGTTTAATACCTTGCAAAATGTGTTTATTATATAACTGTTACTAAAATTGTATATAATTATGATTTTTGTAATTTATTTGAGAATTCAAATATTTAGTTGGACAGCAAGCGCGCGATCCAACAATTTTCAAACTTGGCCAACAATCCAATATTGACGTAATTTCAACGCTCGTTTGACAGTTCTGCTTAAATCTTTGGTCGTTACAGTTAGTATTTTAATTTGCTCGTCATTAATTTTTGTCAAAATGGTTAATTTTTCTCACAAACTTCATTTTTTTGGGGTTAAATTGTAAAGGAAAATAGTAAATTTAGCGTTTTCTAAGTTAAAAAGGAATATTTTATTTTAAGCGGACTCTTAGGAGCCGGACTCCTACATTTTTGATCTATTGTTTAGTATTTTATTCTTTTGGTAAATATAGGAAAGTTCTTAAAACTGTTTTAAAATATCTTTTGGTTTAATTATCGTATTATTGCTGGCAAAGCTTTATTTCAAGTTATCTTTTAAAGTCAGGAATAATGTTATTGTACATTTGTATTTAAAATTGTAGTTCACAATTACTGTTAACGTTTGGTTTTTTTTTTCTAATAAATAGAATTAAATAAGAAAACATTTGGCAATTAAGGGATAATTTCCTAAAGGTCTGGAAATTATAATAAACAAAAGTTTATTAAGGTCTAAACTGTATTTCTTTGTTAAATTTTATTCAGGAAAGGTTCTGAATATAACTAATAATAATAAACATTTTTTAAAGGCAGTGCTTTAATGCCTTTCTGGTTGTCGGGTTAATCCTTCCTTCCGCGATATCCAACTTATCTACGTGGGGGGTCATTAGGCTCCAAGTAGATCCGGAAATGTTGAATTCTCTCCTCTTCTTATTGTGATATAAAATGTTTTTTGTTTCATTTCATTTACATTGGGAAATAGAGAAACGATCATTGTGTTTTGTTAGTTTTAAAAACTTTTGATATATTTGTATTTTGCATTATAAGCAGTCAACCGATTGACAAACTAGAATTATTTGAATTCCGTGTGGAAAGAGCTCGGGTTAATTTCGAGTGTTATCTGCAATCTTTATGTTTATAAATCATTTCAGTCGTTGATATAATAATTAAAGGTCGACTGAACATGAATTATATTATACAATTTAAAGCGCATTTCTGTTTATGCAAGTGAACCCGTCTAACGTTATTGTTATTTCGCAGTTATATAAAGTAGCAAATTATCGTTCCTGAATAGGTGGCGCCGTGGTAGCCGATCCTGTTCCTCAACTTCCGGTTTCTGCACTGTGCAACTATTTCAGTTACATTTTTAATTAACTATGCCAAGTACTTGTTGTTGTGTACCTGGATATCATTTAAGAGGAGGACATGCATTTCCAAATGACTTAAAAAGAAGGAAAAGTTGGATCAACGCCATGGCCCATACGCAGATTGGACGAGAACACGATGAAATCGTGGAGTTCATCTCAATCAGCTGTTGTTTGCAAGGCACATTTTACTGAAAAAGACTACGTGCAGGAAACTATTCATGGTAAAACTCTATTTTCTTTTTGAAATATATAGTTATATATGTAATCGCCATGCGAATAAACCAAAGTCTGTTTACAACTGCAATTATCGTTTTGGAATAAAAGGGGGTGGTTAATTCATAATTTTTTGGATTACGATTCAATGTGATTTGTTTGAGATTTTTTGGTGATTGCTACAATTATAATGATTTCTTACAAGAGGTATATCAACAAATATAAGAGAACAGTTTACTCTAGGTATAGATGTTCTTGCCCCAAAAACAAAGACTAGCACTAAACAATACTGTATATGTAGGGGCCCAGATACTGGTGAAACTATGGTGCAATTTGACCAATGTAAAGAATGGTTTCACCTGACCTGTATAGGTATATCTGTTATTGAGGTGGAAGAGATAGACATTTATACTTTTCCTAATTGTTCGTTAACTGATAGACAGCTACCCCCTGTAAATAACGGGGGTGTAACTGGTCATAATTAAATGCTAATGTTTTAATCTTTGTCTTTCCAGAATGTCATACAAGGGAGACAAAGAGATGAAAAAGGTAGAGGAAGATCCCAAGTTGGGAGGTAGGTCGGATTATAACAATAATGCCACCTTACAAACTGGGACCCTTCAACCCAGATTAGGACGAGGAACCACCATGGAGGGCATCGGAGGGACGTATGAATTGGTATCGGGTGTGGGCTTCGTGCTAGTGGAGGAGGCCTCCGCATCCAGCACACTGTAGGTCCATGGTGAAAAGGCAACCTTGCCTCCACGTGAACAGGCCGTCTTGCGTCCAGTGGAAGATATTTTAGCGGAGGAGGTAGGTGACAGTGCACCTGTGGCTGATCCTGAGGGGATGTATGATTATAAGTGCCCCAGAAGTGGCAGGATGGAAAGGACCTATATCCTGAGCCAAAGAGACCAACACTGCCCTGTGCGCGGCTGTCCTGTGGTAACAAGAGGTGTCAAGAGACATGTGTTGGGGGAACATCTGTCCTATATGTTTGCCCCTACACAAGAGCCACACCTCATGAGGGATCCGCTTTCCATCGGTACAGGGGACATATGGTAATGGTTCTGGCACAGTGGCTCACTGGTCAGACCTCCGCTACCTATGATGATTTGGTAAAATTTCTAAGGAGACATGCCAGAGTGTCTGTTGGTTACCCCAAAGCGGGGGAGGAGATACCTGTCTTCAGAACAGTCTGTAGGGAGATTGGATGGCCTACACAGGCTTGGTTCAAGATACAGCCGGTGCGTGACATTAGCAGCCCAGTCTGCATCCTGCATTGGAGGGTCATGTCCAGTGTCCTCCACTTCCTGACGCCGTCGCATCAGGATATGATGTTCAGTGAAAA